TTCAACATACCTGTCCTTGTCCATAATTCTGACTGCTCTGATTGCCATAGGACGAGTAGCTGTAAGAGAAAAATGCATTTAGGAAATGCTTACAGTGCCCTTCAGATAGACTGGAAAGTAAAGGTATTTTTGGTGTCATTTTAAGTTTCTCTTCATTCCAAAATAGGTGTTTAATCCGAGTACTGCAGTTGCAGGCACTTTAGAACCACATCAGTGAACTAATTGTTTCCACAATTAGTCCTTGACTGTCAGAAGCCAGAAGAGCTTATTTTAATTTCTGCTGCATTTCAAGCATAAATTTAAACTACATGAAAGCTGGGTTTACTGTAGTTTGACAGATTTTTCAGAATCCCAGAAAACTTTATATAAAACAAAGGGCTTTTACGTTTTTCAGGACATTCTTACAGAGTCAATTTTATTTTAATTAGGGTCTGTTTGGTATTTGTTGAACTATCCAAGAATAACACCACCATCAAAACCCACTCTAGTTTTATATTATACTTACTCATTATTCTGCCACTTCAAGCCTTCAGGAACTGACAGAAGAACCATGTGCTGAAACTCATCATGCTCAGACACAGATCCAAACTCAGGCAGTGCTACATGCACAGAACCTTGTGGTTTTCGTTAGCACACTCAGCATTAGCTGTGATTTTCACACTTCCATAAAAACACTTGTTTCCCTGATTAAAATACGCCCCCAAATTGCAGCTTTGGGCCTTATAATAAATATAATAACCTCTGACTAAAATCTTAGTGAACAGCTTAAGGCAGTCACATGAAAAATATTTCCCTATATTCATATTTCAAAAGATCTATTACGAGATGGCAGTCCAATTTACATCTGATTATTGTCCTCTCTTCAGGAATACAGACTGCTTTTTCTTGTTTTATAAGACATCTTGATAAAGGTTCAGCTGCAAGCTTTCTGCACCCATAACTCCAAAAGCATATCAACGCTCTATCATGCCTGAAGATTCAATCATCATGTTGGGAATATTAAATGGTCTTTTATTTTGCTGGTGTATTTGCTAACAGTAAAAAAACCAACCCCACACATACCTCTGTTGGCCCCCAGACTGACTGTAACTTCCAGAATCTAGAAAAAGAAACAAGTCATATTGAGAATTTCCATTTAACGTTTTAGTCCTTTATTTAGCACAGGGGGAAAAAAATTTGGGGAGAGGTACAAAGGTTCAGTGCAACTACTTTCCCTGCAGAGTTAGACAGCTTCCTCTTTATTAAGAGAAAATGTTAAGACTGGGATGATAGGAGCACAGGGTGGGGGGGACAAGACACAGCTACAGCCACTTAGAACTGTCCTTTTTGAAAGACCTGAATTCCATTTTTAAGGCACCTCTTCAAATATCTGGGACTGCACAACCCCTCTAATGGCTACGGAATATGGTGCCATCATCAACGGGCAGAATGCAGCAGCTTAATTAATCAAGCAAAGCTAAGTAGGTTAGTCTGCTGAACACCTTTTTAAGATGCCCTAAGAAAGCTCTGCCCAGCAAAAGGGCACAGGCACAGGCAGGATGGGGAGAGATCAGGGATGGAGGAGCCCTGACAATTCCCTTTGCTCATACTGCAAAAGGAAAAGCGCTGCTGAGAGCCCAGCAGCACGTGACAGAGGCAGCCACACAGAACACACACACATAGCTCCATCAGAATTCCCACTGCCAGGAGCAGGCTCCAGCTCTCCAGAGGTTCCTCACGGCCCCTGCTGTGGGACCTCTGCACTGCACGGGCTCTGTCGGTCTCACTTTCTATGCAGGAGCCCCAATTTGCTTGAAATTCCCACCTTCTTGTCAAAACACAAACACCTTCTCCCTGTCTCTACCAGCCTTCTTCCCAGTACTGTCACTCTGGATAACAGTCCCGCAATTTTTCTGTTCCTTTCAAATCACTTAATGAATTTACATAAACACTGTGGGGCTGTGGTCTAATAAAAACTATCAGGAACCTCTCTGTTTTCATCCCTAATTTCAGTCTTTCCTCCACGTTCTCTCTCCAAGCTCTACACCCAGAACTGCCTGAAAAGCTGACACTGAGAATTAATTACAATGCGGGGTAAATGTCATAAATGACTATAATCATTTTCCAATCAAAGCACTCATCAAATTGCTGAATCTGCTCATTATCCCTCCCTCAGCAGGTAATAAATCCAAGCCTGCCAGTGCTTACACGAACACTTAAACACAGGTCTGATGAGGGCATCACTGGAGGTGAGGATGTGAGGTGAGGGTATCAACCGAGCTATTCTGACACGAAGCAGCATTTTTAGTGGTAAAGTATCTCCTCAGAGCAACACAAAGTATCAAATTTCGTATTCCGTAACAGAAACATTTACCAAAAGCTGAGATGAAATAATGTTTCGTTTCACATGCCCTATAAAGCAGTTTTACTCAAATGTGAAATACTCTCCTCCTTTTGCACTGCTACACAAATATTTCATTGCTTTTTCATACTGAAAGGCAATTAAAACCCCAATGTAGATGTACAGTTTAAATTTATTGTTTTAATGACAGTAAGGTAAAATTTTTACAGTTTCAATTTAAATGATCACAAAGATTGCTGTTAAATAGGTAACCACATTTTGAAGCAGGCTTATGGTTTAATTCTAAAATTTATATGCCATTAATGCTGATAATTAAAGAAAAGAATATTAATGGTTGTATCAGAAAGAATTATTGAGTGAGGATGTAACTAGCTATAAACTGAAGGACTACATTTAATCTCCTGAGCTTCTCCCTAACAAACTTCTGCCAAACCAAAACACTTTGGGAAAAGTCTGAAAGCAACCAGATAAGGAGCCTGCAAAATATGAAAACACAGAATCAGAGGAATTTCCTTTATTTATACATTTTTCTACATCCTCTGTTGGACCTCTCACAGATTTCTGATCAATTTATTTTCGTGGCCTCAAGGGGGACAAGAGTCTGTAAATATTTTTTGAAATAAGCTTATTCTGGAAATTCCTGGATGCACGTTTTTACTGAATGTTTAAAAAGCTTGTGGACAAATTTCCTGTGGATGAAGCGGGGCATAGGAGACTAATCACCTTGCAAGGCTCAGGGGGTGTACTCCTCTTAGAAAAATCTGCTGTGTACATTTGAAAACTAAGGTTCTTATATGATGTAATTTATATGAAGAGGCAGAATTGCTTTTCAATATTCTCACCAGAAAAAGAACCTCATGTTTGAACATCAGAGCTAAAAATAGAGGAGACAGGTGACTTGACTGGTCAGTAGCTGAGGTATGGAGAGAAAGTGGGTTTTGTTTACAGCCAAGCTTTACTCATTTAGTAGAAAAATCATTATTTGGACTCGTTTTAGTAGCTTTGGACACATTTACTTTCCACGGTAAACAACTGCTCCTTGCCAGTAAAGGATTCCTTTAACACACTTTTGCTCTGTTTGTATTGTCTGTCACTCACACCTGCAACCTGAGACAACACAAAAACGGCTCGGCTCGCTCCACAAAGCACACACGGCCTTGGAATTCCTCCTCCCACTCTGGGATACACTGCTATCCACGGCTTGCCAGGGGCAGCGCTGCTGGGGAGACCCAAACATCCAACCTCAAAGGGGATGAGGAAAGAGCACCAGAACATGCTCGCAGAGGCCCCAGGAGAAGCTGGGCTGTGTCAGGTCACCTGGGAGAGCAGATCCTGCCTCCGTGCTCAACTAAATCCTCTGCTGGAAAACAATCACAGCCAGAGCATTTTTAAGCCCAGAGAAGGGGGATGTGAAGCCCCGACTTTGCTCTGCTGGCACCCCCCGGGTGTGAAAAGCAGATACTGGGACACAAAGGCTGGTCCCTGCGGTGGGAAGGGGAGAGCATGTCCCATGAAAGGGGGGCACGACCCAATGGGGGGGTACCTCCATTCCATGGGGGTGCTGATCCAAAGGGGAGCACATAAACCAGGCTGTGGGGAGTGGGAGGACCCAAAATGGGGTTCACATCTCACACGGGATGCGGGGGGAACACAACCCAAATCGGGGGTCCACACAATGGAACAGCCATGACCCAAAAAGGGGGCATTTATATATGGCAGGGTACACGACCCAAAGGGGGGTCCACATCTCACACTGGGACAGAGTGGGGTGGGAACTGCAAGCTGGGGTTCACACGGGGGAAGGACCATGACCCACGGAGGGGGGGCCTTACATCGCACACCAGGGGGGTACACGAGCCAGAACGGCCTGCAGTGGGGGGCATGAACCAAAATGGGGTCTGCATCTCACACCGTGGGGAGCACGGGGGGAACACAACCCGAAGAGGGGGGTCCACACCAGAGAAGGATGACGAGCCCAAAGGGGGGCATTTAACATTTCGCACCCAAACAGGGGAGCCTACACTGGGGGGCACGAACCAAAACGGGATCGGCACCTCACACCTGAGGGGGTACAAAGCCCCAAGTGGGGGGCTTAAACTGGGGGGCACGAACCACAACGGGGTCCACACCCCACACCAGGGGGGCTGTGGCACAGGCCAAAACGGGGGGCTCACACTAGCAGAGGAGGGGGCCTAGACCGAAAAGGGGGGCTGCATCCCACGCACCCCCGAGCTGAGGACCCCAAGGGGACTCTGCCCTCTCGACCCCCCCCAGTTGCGACACGGGGGGCGCGCGCCTGGCCACGCCCCCCACGGTGAAGGGGGCGTGGCCTGCGCGGCTCGCGCAGCGGGGGCTCCCCGGGGAGGGGGCGTGGCCTATGCCGAAGGGGGCGTGCCCACGGGGGCCACCGGCGGGGGGGCGTGGCTCCCCTCCCCCTCACCGAGCCTGGGGGGAAGGGGGGCGTGAGGCGAAAGCGACCGCGTCCGTCCCCCCCCATCACCCCCTCACATATAACATGGCCGCGGGCCTTTCCCACCTGCGCCACATGGCCGCTGGCTTTCCCGCCCTCCCACCGCGCCCGCAAGCGGACCCGCCGCGCCGCCGGTGCGAGGCTGAGGGCCCGGCGGGGGGGGGGGGCTGTCGGCACCTACCCGAAGCCATGGCGGCGGCGCTGAGGGGGCGGCGGGAGCGGAGGGAGCGCAGGGACCGACCCGCCCGCCGCGCCGGCCGCGCGCACACTGAGGCACCCGCAGCTCGCGCGGACTGCGGGGCCCGCCGGCCAATCGGCGCGCGCGGCGCCTACCACTCGCCGCGCGGCCGAGGGGGATGGGGAGGGACGGGGACGAGAAGGGCCGTGCCAAAGTACGGCGGGCGGGGGGGTGGTGGTGGTGATGTGTCTGTGTGTGTTTGAGGGCTGTGCGCGCCCACCGGGAATCGCGGAAAAGGATTGAATTAGTTTAATTAATACATGGTCAGGGTGCTCACGGGGACATAATGGGGCTCTACGCCCCGGCTTTTCGCCCCTCCCTGGCCTTTCCCCCCCCCCCCCGCGGTTCCCTCGCAGCGCCCCGGTTGTGCATCATCGTTTGTGGCAGATGCTGAATGGAGTTTAAAGAACACATCCGAAATCTGGGTTCTAAAGGAAGGGAAAAAATAGTTTGGTAGGGTTTCTGGCTATCTTAGAAAAAGGCAAATATCAGCTTGGAGAATGGTCTAAAGAAACGGGTCATGAGCTTGAGAGCCTCTTCTATGGAACGTGAAGGTTTGCTTCAGAGAGGAGGAGTGATGAACTGAGAAGACAGCAAAAGTGACGCTGATTGTTTAATCTTATTTTTACAAGTCGTATTTCTTGTTTCAGATCAAGCTGCCTTCTTGTGGGAGTTGGGAAGTTAGCAGTTGCACCTTTCTGTCTAGGGACAGTGTACACATGCATCAGCTAGGGAACAGCAAGGTTTTACCCTGTTTTTATTTCCAAAGGCAGTGAGGAGCCCTCTCTGATTTCAGCTGAATGTTTTGAGCAGATTTGCAGAGAAGTTGGGCTGTTTCTTCTCCCCTGGGCGTAGCAGCAGGAGGCAAATCCCACTGCCACAGCCAAAAATAAGTTTCTGCAAAACAGGCAGTGACTGGAATGATTAATTAAAAAAAAAAAAAAAAAGGAGAGGGGGAGTTGAGCTCCCTGCCTGTCTTTTGGTTTCTACTTGAGAAACTTCATCTCCTCCAGCCACAATGTTTTGTCCTGTGCCATAAGCCTTCCTGTGACAACCTGGGACCTCACAAAGGCTGCCTGTGCAATGTTGGGATTAGGGCAGATCCCAAACAATGCTCCACAGCCAGGGGAGGTGGAGGGATCTTTTGCTCTAGGAGAGCCTCTCAGTGTTTGTGCATTCCTCACTGGCTGAAGGATTGTCATAAATGGAAACTGGAATTAGTTGAGAGTTACAAGCTCATGTGTCTGTCTGTCTGCTGATAGATCTGTGCTGTGCTCTCCTGTGGCTCCCAGTCAAAAACTTTGAAGCTTCAATATGGAAAAGACATCAGCCCTTCAACCCTCTGCTCTTCCCCCTCGGCTGGAAAACAGCAGAGTTCACAGAATCACAGAATCACTGGGGTTGGAAGGAACCTCTGGAGAACATCCAGTCCAAGCCCCCTGCCAAGGCAGGGTCACCCAGAGCAGGTGACACAGGAACATGCCCAGGTGGGATGCATGGTGTGAACAGATTTTCTCCTTTTGTGCAAATATAGTCTTCTACCACAATATCCACAGCTCCATCCCCAAACCTCTTCCAACTACAAACTCAAGAACAGATACAATTGTTGTGGAAATACTAACCATGTGTGTAAAGCAAGCCATGACCACAGTGAAGGATTTCCCTTGAAGGGATCAGATTAAGTTCTCCCTACTCCATCATCTCATTGTGACACTTGCAAGAACTTTGATATCTCCATTTATAAGCTGCCAATTCCTCTCCTAAATCTGACTAAAACTGGCCAAATAGTTAAGCCAATATTGCTGGGGAATTGAAGACAGACACAGAATATGAGCCTCATGCAGGTTCAGCCTGGTTTGAACACACAGATGTGGAGGAGGGCTGTCCCTCCATTTGCTCCAGCACAGGTGGGAAGGTCATGTGTGGTGTGGACACTCCTCTCCATCTCCATCTGTCACATATGAAAGGAAACACTTGTTCTGTGTCCAGTTCCACAGTTCAGGAAGGACATTGAGGGATTGGAGCAAGTCCAGGGAAGGGCAACGAAGCTGGTTGAAGGGTGTGGAACACAAGTCTGGTGAGGAGTGGCTGAGGGAGCTGGGGGGGCTCCGTCTGGAGAAAAGGAGAGTTGGAGGGACCTTTTCTCCCTCTAAAACTCCCTGACAGGAGGCCGGAGACAGGTGGGGGTCGGGCTCTGCTCCCAGGCAACCAGTGACAGGATAAGAGGACATAGGCTTAAGCTGTGCCAGGGTATGTTCAGGTTGGACATCAGGAGGAATTTCTACACAGAAGGGGTTATTAGACATTGGAACGGGCTGTCCAGGGAGGTGGTGGAGTCACCATCCCTGGAGGTGTTTAAGGAAAGAGTGAATGTGGCACTCAGTGCTCTGGTCTGGTTGACAAGGTGGTATTCGGTCACAGGTTGGACTAGATGATCTCACAGGTCTTTTCTAACCTCACCGACCCTGTGATTCCCAGCAGCCTGACCCCACGGTGCGGGGGAGCGGGGGCTTCATTCGCCTGGCTGGGCCTCCCGCACCTGAGAGCAGCTGCTCATGGGGAGACCCGGACCCAGCTCAGGTAGGCTCCCAGCGAGACCTCACACCTCCCCACGGGGACATTTTCCCCTTCTGGACAAGTTAAAAACCCCACTAATTAAATAAAAATTCAAAAGAAGGCGGGGGGGGGAAGAACCCCACCCCCGCGCGTCTCCATGGTAACGAGCAGCGCCTCGCGTTGCCATGGTAACGCCCAGGCCTTCCGGCGGCGGCCGGAAGCGGCGGGCGCGCGGGGTGGCAATGGCGGCGCCCAGGGCAATGCCGGCCGCCGCCGCCCTCACGGTGCTGCTCTCGGTCGGGGCCTCCGCGCCCGGGATGCTGCGGGGTGTCCCCGCCGCCCGCTCCGCCGCCGTGCTGCGCCCCACCGCCCTGCGCGACGGGGAAGGTGAGCGGGGGCCGCCCGCGGGGCAGCCGCTGCCTTCTTGGTCCCCCCTGTCTTCCCCCCTCCGTGGGTCCCCCATATCAGACCTTCCCCAAATCCACGACGGAGCCTTTGTGTCCTCGCATTCCCGGTCTCCCTCAAATCCCCACTGGAGCTTTTGTGAATTCCCTCTCGGGGCCATTCCCGCGTCCTGCTCAGGACCCCTTGGTCCCTCCCCTCAGCCCCCACTTCTGGGCACTTCCTCAAGCCCCTCCCTGAGCCCGCTGCTCCCCCTGTGTCCCACCTCTCCGTGCTCCTTTTTCTTCCCGCTTTCCATGCTCTTCCCTGACCTGGGCACCCATCTCAGCTCCCTTACATCAGGCTGCTCCCCTTTACCCCCATTTCTGACACTAAACACAGTATGAGTATGTTTCCAGAATCTTGAGGGATTTGCTTTCCTCGGTGCCTCTGGTATTTCCAGGATGATTTTTATCACACTTAATTCCCATGTGCCAGCTCACCCCTGTGCAGTGATTTTCTTTAGCAGTGTGTGGTTTCTCTGAGCTGATGGGTGTAATCCACCATCTCCTCACATTTCTTCATGGGTTATTTTGTTTTTCACTCCTGTTTTTCTGTCTGTGAGGCTGAGGTCGGTGGGAGGGAGGTGGAGAACTCTTAGCCTCCATCCTCGCTGGATGCCCAGGAGAACAGCTATCCAAAAGGCCTGGGAGCACTTCTGAGGTGTGAGGTTTGGTGAGAAAAGTCAGCCTTCCAGCAGTTTAAGGAGTGGGGTTTTTTGCCAAAATCATTGTTATAATAACATCTATTTTTATGTCTCTTGCCTTCTCTTTTAATGAGACTGAAATATACTACAGATGCTGCTGCTTTTTTCCAGGCAGCTTCCCAGGAAGCAGCAAAGAGTCAGCCCATATGTTTATGACACCCAAGACAGCACTTGTTTTACTCTATCTTGTTATTTATGCCTGGCTTTAAAGGCCTGGAATTCCTTCTTTTCTACACCACCATAGAAAGGAAAGCCATTAATTAATCCCGTGGGCTCTCTCTCTCCCTCTGCCCAAGCCTGTGATTGTGGTTTAAAGCAATTAAAAGCTGTGTCTGTCTGTGCTCAGTTCACAGGTTGGTCACCTACGTCTTTGTCTATGAGGACCTGATCTCCCTGACCTGCGGTGCCGTTGCCATCTGGTACTTTGCCGGCAGCTTTGAGAGGAACGTGGGCACAGTGAAGCACTGCTTCCTCACCATCACCTTCTCCGTGCTCTCTGCCCTCCTCTACCTCCTCCTGGAGCCCCTTGTCTCCCGGGTGTGGGAGGTGGGAGATGCCAAAGGATTCCTGCCAGTGGCTTTCGCCATGCTGGGTGTGTCCACCACCCGCTCGCGGATGAAGAGGACTCTGGTTTTTGGGTGCAGGGTTCCAGTGGTGCTGGTGCCCTGGTTTGTGCTCTGCGTGGCGTGGTTTATCCCCCACTCTTCTCTCTTGGGTAACCTGTGTGGGCTCCTGGTTGGTGAAGCCTGTATCCTTTCCAAGTGGGAAGCTCCGAGCCAGAGCGGGATCGTTGGTTCGCGATGGGAACGGGGTGCTGTGGTTCTTGTTGTTGGTTTCATGGTGCTTCCTGGGCTCTTGCTCTGCATTAAACTCTCCCTGGCTTTGCTCATCCCGTGTTGGTTTTTCACCTCATTCTTCCACTTCCCCAGTGACTTTTGTGCACACAGAGAATGTGGAGTGGGAAGGGCGATGGTCTGTGAACGTGGTGCTGGGCGGAACTGGGAGAATTCTCCAGGAAAAGTGGTTTGTGGGCAGAGGAGGATTGTGTGTGGCTGTGTTAGAAGTGACTGTGTTTTGTCTGCAGACCTCCTTAACACGCTCCTGGCTTCAGATGGTCTTGGCTACTGTTTCTGCCTGGATTTTCCGGAGTCAGTGGGCTCTAAGCTGGACCGGGTGTTCCCTTTCACTCTGCTGAAGAGGATCCCAGGGCTGAAATACATCCCAGGGTCCTTAGCAGAGAGAAGAGCCTCTGACAGCACCAAGTAAGTACAGGAGTTCCTGTGGGAGATCTTATAGGGGAATTTTGAAGTGTGAGTAGAGGCTCTAAATCACCTTTAAAAGCCAGATTGCATTTGTTGAGTTCATATTGTGGGTGTGGGAGGGGGCAGAGTCACCCTTTGATGTTACACTGGTGACATTACTGGGACTAATAAATTACCACTCATTAACTCAACCAGGTCTTTAGTGAAAGCTGAATGGAGGTGAAAGACCTCTCCTTTGCTGCAAGGGCAGTGTGTGTACACATGCAAAGGTATTGCAGCTCTGGCTGACATGAAAGTTAAGTTGTGTAACTCTGCCCTGGAATTAGGGTTTAAGGCATTTATTCCTGGCTGTGTGGCTCCCTAGGGTGTGATCCCTATCTTTATTTGCCCCACCTCGCCTCCCAGGAATGCTGTGAAGTGAGTTGTGTCCAAACCTATGTAGGAGCAGAGCATTATAAATCAAAGGTGCCACTTACAAAGCTCAGTGTAGACCTTTTGGTCTTTTTTAGCCTTTCAGCAGGTTTTCAGTGTCAAGGCAATGTTGCTTTACTGAAAAAAAAAAACCTTGGGGCCCTTGGCTGACAGTTCAGGAGTGATTTTAAGTTTATGTATTATCACAAGCCATGAGAACTCACTTGTATTCTAAAAAGCTTGAAAATGTAGGTCAAATATTTACCTGTTCTAAGGTGCCATTTCAACTTCACAGAGAAAGGGTAGTTTTCTGTTAAGGGTTAAATTCTATGTATTGTTTAAGCCCTCAGCTCATTGTAAAGCTTTATTTAAAGTGGAAGCATTCCCAGGTGTTTGCATTGCCCTCACCCGTTGGGAAGCCATAAAACCAACCCTTGTCTGCAGCAGGAGTGTCCCTCAGGTCCATCAGGGCACTCAAACATGAGAGTGCTTGCAGGGAGGGCAGGCAGATCCAGCAGTATTTGTGTTTTTAGTCTCTCCTTCCTGTGCAAATGCAGCTTTTGGGAGGTGGGACTGTCTCCATGCTGAGCCTGTGCCAGCATCAGTCCAATCCTGCTGTGCACAGCACCTCAGGGTCTAAACCTGCTTCCCTAGGTGAGGTGACACAGACTGTTGTGACACAAAGGTACTTACATGAATATTTGACTATCCAACAGGGCGTGGGAAGGTGTTTCTAGGATGCTTCCACTGCTGCAGCTAAATTTGCATATCTGTGTCTTAAATACA